TTTTGGTAAGCTACAGCTCAGACGCTTGTTTTTAAAACCTCTGTTTGGGTTTTGCTCTTTGATGTTTTCCTTCTTTGACCTCTCATCAATAAAGTGGGATGTCAGTAGTTGATGTACGCATGATTCTCATTAAAACAAAATCTTCATAATGTGGAATTTTGCAGCTGGTTAAACAGTTTCTAGTATTTTAAAGCTCTATACTCATCTTTACCTACAGTTATGGAGTTTGCTCTACGTAAAGCCAAGTTAGCAACTCCTTAAAGCTGCATTTTACTTTACAAAAATGACCAATAAGTAATCCATTTTGATAAGTTAAGGTTATATACACCAAGATCATTTACTCTGACCTGATAGTGTTTAGATTGTCCTTTTTGAGCCTAAATAGAATTCCAGTACATGGCTTGATGGGCCATGATATGTGGCGCCATCTGCTGGCAGTACCACAGAACTATCAGAAAGCCAGATAGCGATTACTAAAACTCAACAGTGCCTTGCTATAAAGCCTGACCAATATTACCAGTCTTACCCATAGTGTCCTAACAGAACATCAAGGAGAAAATAAGAGAAAACAGGGACACAACATCAGCTTAAGAAGCAGCCAATCCATCTATCTATCTTTTTATGATATTGTTCATACTTAGAAGTATCAGTATTAATAAGGACGTTTACTCACGTATCCATCAACTTAGCAGCTACATCTAAACATCCCAGCGGCTTTAGTTTCCACTTCAGTGAACACCAATGTTCATACTGTTTTCCCAGCATATTCCAGTCATTACCCCCATTTTTTTTCTATTTTTCATCCTGGATCTTAGAATTTTCTTCTTGTTTCCACACTTCGCTGGGAGGTGCTAACTGGGTTAGCCGCAGTAGGCTACTACCCCCTGCATACCTGTGCACTATCATGCAGAGATGGGGACTCGAGTTTGTGACTCGTACTCGAGTCGCACTTAAGTCGCATATTTAATGACTTCACACCCAACTTAGACTTGCATTTAAAGGACTTCAGACTCGACTGAGACTCGTGATTTCCGACTTGTGAACAATATTTTATTCCAGTGTAAAAACACTTATTCAAGTGTT